CACACACACACACTTCTAGAGTCAAACAGGGAGGCATTGGGTTCCATTTTTTAAGTCTTTGGTATTACCCGACTGGTTTTGAACGCCGATCTCCCAGTGCCAGGGTGGACACTCTACCACTGAGCCAGTGTAACTTGATGCCTGAATGCCAAGAAAAAGAAAATATCAATGACACATTTTGAAATTGTTCAAAATATCAATCATCTGCTTTTTTTTTTTCAAAAAAATGTTTGAATCCAACATCAACAAGTGACATGAATGAATCTGTACCTTGATTTTTCCTGTTATTAAAACAAAATTCCAACAATCTTGTTTTGTTTTATTTGGGAAAAAGAGTTATTTAGACTTTTCAAACCTTAATAGAAATAACAGAAGGGTGGCTTAAAGCCAACAAACAGCTCAAGGCTTCTGTCATCTCTTTCTGGAGAACTTTCTGTCAAGATGCCAAAGTGTTGTTGGAGTAAACACCTGACTCCAATATGGAGCCATGCTGGACTTAGGAGCTCCTTCCCATCATCAGGCTTGTGATAGCTGGCATCTTCAAACTGGCACTTCTGCTATTCACTGTCACAAATGGAAGGAAGATTCCCTGAAAGCATCTCCAACAGACTGAAGTTACTTACCTGCCCGAGGGCTTAATCTGCTTGGGTTTCCACCAGACGCTGTAGGCAGCTTTAGATGCTGAGAGACCAGATGGAGACAACAAAAACAATGGCTCTTTATGAGGGTCTATTGTCCCACTGGAACCAAAGTGTCCGTTGGTGTTTTACTTTATTTACTCAAGAAGCAAATAAAGTTGATCAGAGATGAATTTGGTGAAGTGTGTGTGTGTCACAGGTGGTGAATGGTGTTTGGTTGATTATGGGATGGCAGCATGTTGCTGTAAAACAGGAGTGTTTACGCCTCCACACACAGTTAAGCGATATGACCATATTTAAACTTTGGTATGTTAAAAAGATGAAAGTCAAACTTTATTCATCCGTAGTTCAACAATTCAAACACACCATTCAATTTAAAGCGATGTTTGATGTGAACATTGCTGAGTTGAAATGACTGTGTTCAGACTGAACCACTCCGGGCTACAAAGCTTTTTTACTTTTCAATCAGTGATTTCCCAGCAGGAGCGCTGCTTGTGGCCGACAATGAAAAATACACCTTCTATGGCGGAGTGACTGAACATGTATTATGTATGCAGAGATTCATGCATGATTTAAAATCACCTTAAACGGTCAAACTCATTCATATTTACAACATTTTAAGTGATTCACAAACATGTTAGTTTAGTTTCCCATTTAATGTTTATGTAGTTCTATCATGTTGAGCTTGTTGTTTGTGTGAATGTGGCTCTGTGATGACATCAGCAGACTTAATGAGAGTTTGTCTGTTTTCTTGTTGTTGTTTTGTTACATGAAGTTGCAAAAACAAGCTCAAATATTTACTTGTTATTTCCAACAAGAGCAAACCTGATAACCTCAACACATTTGTCATTATTTCTAACTGTTACCTTCAGAGTCATACGTGTTTTGTTACATAACACAGTGTTTGGGAAACAGAATTGGTGGCTTTCTGTGCTCATAACAAAACAAATGAATTGTTTGGGGGAGGGGGGGGGGGGGGTCCACTTGAAGGAGAGCTGCCAGCATGTTGATGCAGCCTGCGTTCCATTTAGGAGAAGATCTGAGGCCTCATTTCTAAAGCGGCTTATGCACAAAATGGGGTCTAAAATTGCTTAAGTCATCTCTAAACAAACTATAATGCATGAAGAAATGTGTTCAATATTAAACAAACTCTGACCCTGGTGAACCTGCAGCCGCTGCACTCACGGGTTTCCTGCAACCTGCAGGATATTTGTTGGATATGAAAAGCAACATATGTCATTTCCTGCCCTGAAGCTCATTTGGGTTAAAGTGAATGTTTTCATTTAATGTTACAGCCACCTTCCTCTTTGAACCCACCTTTTTAATGTTTTTCTTTATTTTTATATCTGCCGTGATCACTCTGCCAGACATACAGAATTCACCACAACACTGCGCCACTCTAACAGTGGTTGAGCAGGGGGCGGGATGTGACCCAAAACACCTGAGCACATTTATAGAACAGGTGTGATTTATATATGGGTACCGTGTGTAAGCAGGGTTTTATGGGTCTAGTTTGTGCAGTTTTTTCTGAGCTCAAGTAGGGTTTTAGTAAGGACTCAATGCATAAACAAGACCTCTGCTCTCTTGCAGCCAGCACACACTGCTTCTGTTGCTACACTTCTTTTCCATTTGTCATGATCTTTCATCTCAAATGATTAGACATAAAGACCAGAGTAGGGATTTTAGATTAGTTGTGATTTATTGAGATGTGTAACTGTTAAATGGCTTGTTTTTGTTTAGAACCTTCTTGGGTTCAACCCCCCAACGTAACAGTCACTCAACCACACACACACATGCACATGCTGGTGATGATGGGCTGCATCGTAGCCACAGCTGCCCTGAAGCACACTGACAGAAGCAAGGCTACCGAGCTCAAACACCGCCAGTCCCTCCCACCACCATCACCACCATCACCAGCGGACAAGGTGGGTTAAGTGTCTTGCCCAAGGACACAACGACTGTGATAGACTGAGCAGGACTCGATCCCACAGCCCTCCGGTTATGAGACATGCAGGTGATTAAATCCCCTGCTATCATCCCAGTGTGTTCTTCTGGTTTCTGTGAGTCTTGTCTCCAGGTTTCAGTCACACCTGGTCCAGAGTGCTGATTGTCACACCAGTCCAGGATATAGTTGTTAGTTTCCTCAGCATGATTTCCAGCCCTTATTTTAATCTGCTGTCAATTCTCCTGAGTTTACTGTTGTTATTTTTTATTTATTTTCTTTACAGAATGTTCAGGGGAAATACACCTTTTGGGGATTTGTTTGGTAATAAATAACACGATGCAGGTTTTACCTGGATTCTTATTTAAGTTGTCAGAGTGGCAGATTTTTCACTACAGAGTACAGTGATGTGGTGGTTATTGCTTTCCTGTATTATACAGGCAGAATCTCAGCTGTGGGAGTGGTTAGGAATGTAAGGGTTCATTTCCACTAAACACAATACTTTCTCTTGATTAATTTCTGAGTTTTAATTGATGGTAGAACCAGAAGGGTTTTGTTGTTTGTGTCTGATTTGGCCCACTGATGGACCACTGACCCGTTCCTCCTCTCAGGCTGCCTGCTGGGATAGAAGCACCAGAAAGTGCTCAGCCCGTTACCACAGACAGGATTAAATGAGTTCAGAAAATTAATAAGTACAACATTTTCCCATTGGTTATGTTTTTAAGGCTGGTGTTTTAGTAGCCTTCTAAAAGTAAACAAGCTCTTATGCATTATCATTTGTATGAGTTTTTGTGCCAATGCAGCTGCTTGACTGGTTTTTATTTTAATGATATCTTTCCACAGTGGAAAAAATGTAAAGTTGCTGCAAACCCAATTCGTCATCAGCCTAATGTTTTAGAAAAGAAGTCAAGCAAGTGCATGTTTTACTTAAATGTTTTCTAAAACATGAAGCGTTCTTAGGTTAGGCAACTTTAAATCACTGAAATGAGTCAGAGCATCCTCAAAGAGGATTCATCAAAAGTTCAGTTCTGTCTTCTGGAACGTCTGAGCATGCATCTTGTTGGTAATGATAAGGGGAGAAAGCAGCATGCCAACAGAAGCTTTGCTTTTCTGAATATTCTGGATTCAAGGGAGTTTTCTGAATCATGCTCTACCAACATGTTGTCACCAGAGTAACCGGTTGGTTCTGTGTGGATGGGTTTGACACAATAGCACATCAAAGAGATGGGTCAGGACTGGTTATTGTCTGTGTGTGGGTGCAGGAAGTCTCCATCGAGACTAATGGGTCACTGCCTCTAATTAGAGGAACACACACGCACGCACACACACACACACACACACACACACACACACACACACACACACACACACACACACACACACACACACACACACACACACACACACACACACACACACACACACACACACACACGTGTGATCCATGCAATGGACAGAGTTTATTTCTACAGAGAAAGAACATTAAATGTAGCTTAAGTTTGTCTGTGGACAACAGTGAAAACACATTTTATTTATTTCTCTTTTGCTTCTAATGAGCCAGACCATTGGGTTTTGTAAAGCAGTCTTGGTCAATATTTCTGCTTTTCTGAAGGTTTTTCTGTTAGTTTTAGTTTTGTGGAGGCTTTTCTACTCATTTTCTGTCCAGTTGTAGCACCTGAAAATGTCAGGATATTGTGAAACGTGCTTAAAAGTCCAGCAAGTGGAGGGAAAAGGAAGATCCTAAAAAACTATGACAGGCTGACAGGATCTGGATGTCATGGCCTTAAGAAAAATCAATTATTCCATCACTAAAAGCAGGAAACAAGGGATCTAACAGCCATCAGTTGACCATTTAAGTTTTTTTTAAACATGAATCATCCTATTGGTGCTAAATAATGCATCAAACTTTGTGATCTTTGATAATCATTGAGTTAATCTTCACAACATTTGCCATTGTGACAGCTGCTGGTATTAAAGTGTCCTCAGAGTCTATTTAAAATGGGCTACGGTGTCTGTTGTGTGTCCAGACAGAGCTGTTGAGTTTAGAAGCCTTTATGTCCAAATGACTCAGTTAAGAGGCAACAATCAAACAAACAAGTAAAAAAAAAAACATCCCTCTGAAAATTGTACTTTAGAAATAAAAGAAAATCCTAAGAAAAACTGAAAATGATTCAGAAAGCCTGAATAGCATTGCAGATGTTTGTAAACTTAAATGTCAGTGGTTTAGTTCACTCACTAAATATTCTTCCATCCATGTAACCTGGCTCCTCCTCTCCCTCTTGACCCATGTCTTTGCCCATTTCTATCGTTGTCCAGTATGATGTCCATCATAAAAACAACAAAATACAAATATTCTCCCAAAGATGTTCATGTAGCTGCTAGTTATAGCTTTCAGTTCTTCAGATGAAGCCGTTGGGATGTTTAGGTGATAACGTCGTGTTAAAATGTTAATGATTTATTAATAATCGTGTCCTGTTGATATTTTATTTAAATGTCTAATATAAATGAATATTAAATGATAGGTGTAGTTTTTGTGGACCAGCCTAGAGTGGGCAGCTTTGGTTGCCACCTGTTCCCCCTCTTCCATTTTGTAAGGATATGACTTCCTGCGCGCGACTTAGCTAATTAGTGCGCGCGCGCTCCTGGGGGAAGGTGGAGGTTTGCTCGTCTCTGCCGCGCCGCTCAGAACTAACTTACGCAGTAGTAACTTTGCTAAATGTTTTTCACACAGCTAACGCGCTTCATGGCGCCAACGGACTCTCCAGATGTCTGAGAGGGGAGAGGAAAGCGACGGCGGCGGGAGGGCGAAACGGTCGGAGTCTCCCTCGCCGCCTCTGTCTGTCAGTCTTCCCCGAGGATTATCACCCTCTCCGCGGACCCTGGACTTCTGCTCGTCCGCCTCTCCGCTGCTGGGGGACACGGACCCGCCTTACCTCGCCTCCTCGGAGTGTTTACACCCGTCTCCAGAGAGCCGGGAACTCGGAGTCTCCACACATTTCACACCGCCAAAGTTCCGTGCGCGCACCGCGGACACCGTGTCAAGCTTCCGCTCGCGGCCAGATGTGAGGATAGATGTGGGGTTCAAGCACTACGATGACCCGCTGCCCAAGTGGAGAGGACGAGGCTCACCGAGCACCGAGCTCCTTCAGCACCGCGGACAGAGACCCCTCAGGGCCCCGGAGCTGTCGGACCACGGGAACCACTTCTCCAGCGAGCACATAGACACTGACTTCACCTCAGAGTCACGGCAATCGTGAGTCCTGCTTTTCATCCTTTACTCCTCATTTCATAAACTTATCCAGTAATACTTTTACTCTATTAATTTGTTTATTTTTAAACTTTGCAAACATAATAATATAGCAAATAGTAAACAGCACTGGGTCAAATGGTATATGGCCTGTATTTGTATAGCACCTTCTCAGGGTTCTAGAACCCCCGAAGGCGCTTCACAACACAATCAGTCATTCACCCATTCATACACACATCCACACACTGGTGATGAGCTAAACTGTAGCCATAGCTGCCCTGGGGCACAATAATAGAGGAGAGGCCTGCTGAACACTGGCCCCACCGGCCCCTCCGACCACCACCAGCAGGTTGGTTAAGTGTCTTGCCCAAGGACACAACAGCAGCATTCTCTTTCAGGAGCCACGACTGAACCTATTGCTGGACAACCCACTGTACCTCCTGAGCTCCTGCTGGGTCAAATCATTTAATTGAAACTAAATATTCCTGAAGTCTGTGTATCAGGATTTTCTCTGAGCAACCCCTCACCCAACTCCCACCCCATGGAAGACTTTACTGCAAACTACAACATTTCTATTATAGAGACATTCATTTACCAGAAAGATGTGCATCTGTAGTGTGGGGTTGTGGTATAACTGTGCTGAAATGTGCTAGCCACTCTAACTTGTGTGTGTGTGTGTGTGTGTGTGTGTGTGTGTGTGTGTGTGTGTGTGTGTGTGTGTGTGTGCGTGCGTGCGTGCGTGCGTGTGTGTGTGTGTGTGTGTGTTGAGCTGAATGATCTACTCAGTTTTTTTCTCAATCGCATCTCCAATTTACCTCAATGCATTGAGCAAGCCTTTTGATTAGATTCAATACATAAATGCATTTGTGTGTGTGTGTGTGTGTGTGTGTGTGTGTGTGTGTGTGTGTGTGTGTTTGTGTGTGTGTGTGTGTGTGTGTGTGTGTGTGTGTGTGTGTGTGTACTAGGACAGTAAAAACACCAAACCATTTCATTATAAGATGGGCCACACTTCACAACTTGACTTGCAGACTCTTCAGTCGAATCCACAGTATCTTACAAACTCCCAGCTCAGCATTTAATTGCTTTACTGTTCGATAAAATACACCAAAGACCACTTTCAGAGCAAAGTCTACCGCATCTACATGTAAAACATCTGTTGCGATTTAGGGGGACTTACATGATGGCACAAAATGAAAATTCAGCACTGCCAGCTTACAGCCGTGACTATCAGAAGTAGGGACCGGCAGGCACCAGAACCGAGTCTTTGATCTTCCGTCGTCTGCTTCTTTGATACACCAGTGTTCCTTTTAAAAGGCCCTTTCATGGAGGAGATGTACGTTAGCTTTCACTAATGTCTGTCACCTATGGATGTTTGTGTGAAAAGGGGTGTATGACAGGGTGAGCATGCCTGTTCCTCATTAAAACTGAGTTAAGATGAGAAGCTGACCTTTGATCTTAAAAAGGGACAAACAGCTGCTTGGATAAAAATGTAGAGGTTTGCATGTGTGAAACTGAAATGTTATTCAACCTTTATTTGTCCAGATGATGTTAGTCTTCCTAAACATGAATTTGTTATTTTTGCTGTGTTAAATAATGTTTTTCCCTCTAATTCATCCTTTGAACTATAAACAACCTCACCTTTTATAGATGCCCCAACCCTCTGGGAAGCAGGGCATTCAGAGCAAGTGTTTATTAGTTGTGATATTTTATTTAAGGCTGAAATCTCACAGATACGATTAAAGACAGATAACTAATATTAATAGGAAAGGCAGATTTTTTATATAACACATCATACACAAAAGTAGACAAAAAAAAAAGAAAAGGCAAAGATAAAAGTGCAGAAGCTGCAGCAGCATAAGACACAATCACTCAAAGGCAGATGAAAACATCAAAGTTTTTGGTTCTGGATTACACGTTTAATCAGTACATTTGCAGTGGGCTCTAGAAGGAATAGATGCCTTGCTGGCAGAACTCAGGGCAACAAAAGCCCAAACCCCTATTTCAGCAGGGCAAGTTTGTGACATCAGCTGAGCTTCAGACAACAGAATTTGGAGTCTTATTTCTTGATATTTGGACATCTTGCCCTGGATTGGATAACAGCAACACAGCTCTACCACTGACTTACAACATGGATGCTCTATTTCCACAAACAACACAGGCCTGGAGGAGTTCTGCTGTGAAGTGAAGTTGATAATGCTAATGGTTAGCTTAAAATAGGGCTGGGCAATAAATCAAAAATGAACCACATTTTGAATACTTATCCCTGCATTATTGAAATTTCTGACTTTTATTGATAATTTTCCCCATGTCAATAAATGTGATGATAAAAAATGAAACTATGTGTGTAGGTTAGCAACATTCATGTCCCTTTAAGAAGCTGTACCACCTTGAGTCACGTAAAAATGTGACTTAATGTAATGTGACAGCCCCATCTAGTACACAACTTTTGTTTCTGCGCATACCTGTAGTTATCGTCCATTTGTCGTCATCGAGGTGAAATCCTCAATATATCGTTATATTGATTTTAGGCCATATCGCCCAGTCCTAGCTTAAAATAGCCAAGACATCCTGACATCAAAACCAGGCTGTTGTTGCCTTCCCCATCGTGAATAAAGACAGGTGAGTCCATGAATACCAATTCACAGTGTGACATAGATCTGTCAGGCTTTTCAAATCCTAGAGTTTCATTGTCTATTTTCTATCAGAAGCTAATGCAGCAGATAGGTGTAGGAGACTATTGTCATGTTCAACCTGCATGAAAAACTCAGACTGACTGACTATAGTCAGAAAGAATATTTTAAAATATTTTTTTCAGTCAGCCACACTTTTAAAAGTTGTAGTCGGGGCACATTTGACGTCATGAGGAAGGCGGTTCTATCTGTGTGCACCATAGGCGCTAAAAACCAGCCTCATCCTGCTGATCGGGGATTCTTCCAGCTGACTGCTTCTTTAGGATCTCAGAGCCCTGCTGAGCGTTAGTAAGGGAATCCGACATGTACTTTTGCTTTATAATGAAGGGACCTTGTATGCTTTGGAGGTGACTCCTCTAAACAGGAAGGTGTTTCATTCTGCAGTCATGGTGTCAAATCAAATAAGAATCATCAGTCCTGTTTCTGTGTAAGTAACTTCAACAGCACTGTAACGATAAACTTATCAGTTCTCACATGTTGGGCCAAAAAACAGAAACTGGTTCTCATGTTTGGATTTATGTTTTATTATTAAACTTCAGAAGGACACTTGGCATAAAGTATAACATTGTTACTAATCTTCTGAGTCACCTTGTCCATTATGCTGCCTCCAGTTTATCTCTTTGTCTTTCTGCATGACATTTGAACTCTGAGCATGTAAGTAGAGTCCAGGATAGGTTCAGTGACTGTGGGGAAACTCAACTTCAATGGCTTCAACACAAAATCCCTAATAACCCCTTTATCCTGTGGTTTCCAATCCAATCCACCTTTATTTGTATAGCACTTTATTACCTTTAGTGGTCCATTTTTACTGTCAGCTGAAGCATTTGATGGATTTTCACCTTGATATGGTTGGTAGATTTTATTATAGCCACTGGAAGTGAAATGTTTTATTAAATGGTTTCAAAAGCCACCAAAGTATGAAGAGTACATATCAGTAAATGATGCTGGAGGCATTTAAGAGTCTGATGTTGAAAAACTGTGGTTTAGACAGACAGAGAATTATACAGTTGGGTGATCATCAGACTTCTGTTCAACTGCCAGGCAGAAAATGAACTCTAGAGCGATTGGAGAGAGAATAACGTCCACATGAGTTGTTTAAAAGGCAGTGGGAGCTCTAAAAATGTGCCAAGCCATTTAATCAGGCTTTAGTAATGTGTAGAATCACACACCTGCTGTAAACGGTTACGTGTGTGCCCGTGTGTGTGCGCGTGCGTGCATGTGTATGTGTGTGAGTGTGTATGTAGGTGCGTGCGTGTGTGTAATCACTACTGCCTCAGCACAGAAACATGTTGTCCTCTATCTATCCATCTCTATCGTGAGGGCTTCCTCTTGTCTGTGTCACTGTAATCTGACTCAGAAAGGATGCAGATAAATTATGTCTCTAAACCAAATCACAACCGATCAGAGATGGATGGAGGCAGGGATAAAAAATGATAGAAAATGGTGATTAGTTACCTTACTAAGGTTATCTAAATGGGCATGTAGCCAGACTGCCCCTTTGTTTATGAGGAATCCTCTCAGGCTTCTAAAAATAGCATGTCTGAGGCTGATGGAGAAACGTGGCATCCGTCCTAGCTTAATGTTTCATAATAAATCACAACAAACAGCAACCTTTGAAAAAAAACAAAACTCCACATTGGTATCACTTGCCCCATCATGCCTGAACTGGTTTCCATTAGTTTTAGAAGATCATTTAGTGTCCTCATTATGCATGCATAGCCTGAAACTGCCTAGCTAACAGAATTTCAGTAAGCTAATGGTTTTTATTTTTCATCTTGCAGTGATTGACAGTCTTGAGTCATTTGATTGTGTGAATGTAAATCAAAATAAAATATGGACCTTTCATACAGTTTAATCACAGCATTCTGAATACACACACACACACTCACGCGCACACGTACACACACACGGAGGACTTGCCTCGGTGAGCTTGCTTCATTTTCTCAGCTTCGCATCCTTAGGCACCCCTGGGTGAATCTATCTACCATGAGCAGGTTTCCATTTTCACCTCTTTTTCCTATGTCCTGCTTTCTCTTCACGCATGTGCGTGCGCACGCACACGCACACACACACACACACACACACACACACACACACACACACACACACGGTGTAAAGAAGGGGTTTATTATAAGAACCTGATCCTTATTTCATTAGTGATGCCTGATTTGATTATGAACCCATCATGCTAACAAATAGATGTTTTCATTGATGTAGTTTAAAGACCTTTCTGCAGTTTCATAAATGTGAAACATGAATGAAACAAAAATGCACAAGTAAAGCAGATAATCTTTTTTACCCCCTCTGCAACATTTTGAATACTTATCCCTAAAAAAAAATAAAGCTAAACAGACATGTTTCTCTGCGTGAGCGTAACGTTGCATCAACTCTGGCTGATTTCTGTGGACGGTCACTGGAACAGAGTCATTTATTTATTTTCATGATAAAGCCCGTTGAGCTGACAACTCCATTTCAGTCATGGCAGTCAAAGCTGCTGACAGCACCGAACTTTGACCTTTTGGTATTTGGTAGCAGATTGCTCCTCTGACCAGGACTGCTTTTGCCATAGCTGCAATGCTTTCTCCAAGATCAGTGTTAAACAACGCTTCTTGTGTTTGCCACAGACTATCTGAAAAAGGAAGATAAGACTCTTTTTTATTCTGGCCTCTAACTGAAACCTCCATCACGACTTTGCTTGATTTTTAAACACATTTCTGTCCTATTTCTGTTGTATTTATGTAAATCATTCTCTGTCTCCCTCCACTGCCCCAGGGTGGAAGCCATCCATCGCCGACACACCACGCTCAGAGAGAAGGGGCGTCGCCAGGCGGTGCGAGGTCCTGCTTATATGTTTAATGAGCGTGGCTCCCCACTCACTGCAGAGGAGGAACGATTCCTGGATGCTGCAGAGTATGGAAACATTCCTGTGGTGCGAAAGATGTTGGAGGAGTCCAAAACTCTAAACTTTAACTGTGTGGACTACATGGGCCAGAATGCTTTGCAGCTTGCGGTGGGTAATGAGCACCTGGAGGTGACTGAGCAGCTGCTAAAGAAAGACGGCTTGGCGAGGATTGGCGATGGCCTCCTTTTGGCTATCTCTAAAGGTTACGTTCGAATCGTTGAAGCCATTCTCGCTCATCCAGCTTTCGGTGGAGGTCTCCGGCTGGCTCTGAGCCCCCTGGAGCAGGAAATGAGAGATGATGACTTTTATGCCTATGACGAAGATGGGACGCGCTTCTCACACGACATCACTCCCATCATCCTGGCAGCTCACTGCCAGGAGTATGAGATCGTTCACATCCTGCTGACCAAGGGGACCCGCATAGAAAGGCCTCATGACTACTTCTGTAAGTGTTCAGAGTGTGTGGAGAAGCAGAAGAAAGACTCGTTCAGCCACTCGCGCTCCAGGATGAACGCATACAAGGGTCTGGCCAGTGCAGCTTACCTGTCGCTCAGCAGTGAAGACCCAGTGCTCACTGCCCTCGAGCTCAGCAACGAACTGGCCAGACTGGCCAACATTGAGACAGAGTTTAAGGTAATGTGTCATCCTTACCTCTCACTCATTTGTTAAGAAAAGCAAAACGACTCTCAGGAAACATCTAATTTATGATTGTGTAGAATAACTAAAAAGATAAAGAATCTAGACTTGGGCAGTATCCAAATTTTAATACCCTCTAGCTTCGTCTACATTTTACCAAGGTGTACGGTATTACCGGAAAAAATTAAAATGATGCCGTACGCCTCAAGTGGAATTACCAAACTGTTGGTTTGGACCTTCACCATTCAGAAACTGAATAACAAACATTAATACTAAAACAACAACATAACACACATAATATTAACAACTTTAAAAAAATGCAACTTATAAAAAGATTTTTTGCCTGAAAAAGAAGCATGACTGCTGAAAAGTAGGGTTGCAGGGATTTACCGGTTTGACTCATTATTGAGGTTAACCTATGAAAAACAAAAAGATAATAGCACGACTCACACGGACAAAAACACGAGTGAAGCTGAATGCATGCATGCAGCAGAAGCAGAACCAGTGACAACAACCATTGGGAATGCTCCATTTCCACCTAGTGTTGGGGTTATTAGGAGCGAACAATTAGTAAGCTTCAACTTACTTTTGGATTCTTCAATAAATTCTGTAAATATGGGAATATTTACTGATTTATTAATTAATTAAGATATTCTTAGATATACGGGGCACCATTCCCCTTTTTCCGGGGAAAAATTGAATCCAAAACTCTTATCAGTCTTTCTTGAAGTTCGTAGAATCCTTGGAGCAGAGACTTCTCTTCGACACAACAAAGCTACTGGAGACGAAAATCTGAATTTTATAACGTTTAATTAACAATTTGTCAAATGAATAAACAGTGGCATAAATGAATAATAACCATGTGATATAATAAAAGGATGTATATTCAAAATAATGTTCAAGGTGTTTGTGTGGTGTGTGTGAGTGAGTGTGTGTGTGTGTGTGTGTGTGTGAGAGATGAATGGGTCTTTGTTTCCCCAGAGTAGGTGGGGGAAAGTGAGCTGTGAGTGTGTGTGGGGCTCTGCCCCTCCCCTCGCATTCAGCAGGAGACCTGGATGTGTAAAGTTTCCTACTTTCCCGAACACTTAGTGGCTTAGAATCACAGTAAAACTTAACTCAAACACTTCAAAAGTTAACAAACAACAAAAGGGTCACTTGTAAATTATTTAATCTAAAAGGAGTCGGCAGCCTGGCCAGAGCTGACGACTAAAGATATTAGCGATGATCAATAAGCAGTTTATTCTTTCAAAATGACCCGAAGGACGAATTGGGAGCGAAAGAGGAAAACACGAAGCTACTTTTTAAGCAATAGCGCGGTTTTATTGCTTATTCTGGACTATAGAGGAAACGGGAGAAGAAAAGGAGAGAGAAAAAAATGAGTTTTCTGATCACCAAAGCAGCAAGGCGTCCCCGCTGTTATGATTTGACGGTTCTCCGTTTTCTCCGCAGTTTTCAGCGTCATCCGTCGGTTTAATGCTTTCTCCGTTGTTTGGCTCCACGAGTGTTTCTCCACGGAGCGTCTCTGAGAGCTGAATGGAGCTCCGCTCGTTCCCAGTCAGGTCCCGATGGAGTTGAGTGTAGTTTCCAGCGGTTGCGTGGCTCAACTTGGCACTTAGAGCTTTCGCGTGCTCAAGTTGTCGGAGCGTTGACAAGCGTGTCCTTACCGCCAGGTATCCTGGGCAAAAGAACAAGGTTTCTTTGTCTCTGCTGAAGATTTATGGTCTTAGTTTGCGGGAAAAGCTCCACGGCTTCCCGCACATGCGCAGAACGTGTTTCTGGTACTAGGCGGTGACGTCATCACAATGCTTCCGTGTGCAAAGCATCATGGGAAATGAAGTTTCTTGGCGCTGATGTGATTATTTGCTTTTCAGAGCAATTTAAGCACAGTCATTTTGGAGAAAATCACTGCATAGTAATTTCCTCATGAGGTCAGACCCTCAACATTCCCCCTTTTGGTTTCGGGGATCGCGCCCAAAGCTCGATCGTCGGAAGCACAGATGGGTTTGTTCCTCATGAACGTAGGTCGACTTGATTGTCGGAAGCACAGGTGGGTTTGTCCCTTAGGACGTTGGTCTCCTTGGACGCCTTTGTCTTTGGTCTTGGCTTGGATCCTGGCGCCTTTGGTCTTTGATCCTGGTCAGGCACCAAGAGGATAGGAAACGGGATAGTCCCCAACGCGCATAACGAGAAGAAACCACTCACGCAGGTGGTACGCAATGAAGATGTCGTCCATGCGAGAGGTAGTAGTGTAGAAGGAGGAAGGTCGGTGGGCGGTTAACTCCACGAGTGGACACAAAGGCATCTCACCGCCGGCCATACAGTTCAGTTTATGGAGCACGCGGTGATGTACGAGGTCCATAGTTCGCAAACGCGCATTGACCTATGTGGTCCCAAGATTCCCCCCTTTTTGGTCCAAAGGGTGGATCAGGACAGTCTTTGGCTAAAACAAGGACCATAAAACTAAGAGGTACTACAATGTGCTGGTGTGTCAGACAGAGTCATTGACAGACTGAGCTGGGCCGGCACATAACCACTAGTCAATATGTGACCAAGTAAGAAACAAAAATACAGAAAACCCAAAAAAAAAACATATAACATCCAAGAAAATTCATAGCAACCTTGAGGTCTCATAAAATACATTCTTAGGACATACATTCAGTGTGTAGCTTATAAAGAATGTGACATAATGCAACACTCAGATAAAAAATGTGAGGTAGACTAAAGTGAGAACTACTCTTAGGGTTACAGAATAACAAAGAAAATGTTGCTCACCCCCTTTAGACAGGTGTGGTACATTCGCGCTTGGAGTCTACCCGAACGCGGTCACGAGGCACACCGTAGGTGAGCAAGTGCATCTTATCTTGGAGTTTCTTAACACGCCTGTAGGCGGAATAAGCAATCACGGCCGTGATGAGCCATCCCATCCCCAGGGCGACCAATGTGCAGATTAAGGTGGTATAATCTGTGTCAATGTAGCGTCTTGGGCGTCAAAGTAAGTTCACGCGGGGTTTGTGTGAACTTAACAAATTTGGTTCCTTCAATCAGTAATTGTTGGTCAATTTCTAAATCGAAGGCAAAGTTATAACCCTGGAAAACGTCCATGATCTCAATCTCTGAGTCATGCTGTTCGAGGTTGAGGTGATGGAGTGTCAGGTTTCTAGTTCAAAGTGGAAATGCCTACCGTCCTTTCAAATACCAATGTTCAGCATCGACCTAAACCTATAGATGTGAGGTGTCACAATTATGGGAACGTTTAACAGGAAACCGAGTTCTAATTTTTTTTTTTCAACGTGAATGGGCATTGCACTACTTAGGCTGTACGCTAGGTGGATTTGTGAAAGGTGCACAGTAGAGGGGTAGCAGCTGTCAAGCTAACTTTGAGCAGGTCCAGTGGTACCAAGTACGGGGAAATACGACTTTCAACCAAGCTGTCCAGCGTGGAACTTACTTCCCTGAGCAGGTCCTGCATCAAATCTCTCACCACTCATGTGTACACAATATCCTGATGTATGGTTTCAGACAAAGTCTTGATTGCACGTAGAGATTCATTAATCAGAGAAGAATGTAGGTTGACAGTTACAAGAGTACCCTGTAAGGTTTTAGTAAGTACTTCCTGTTAGCGTTCTAGGAGGAGTTTCTCTTGGTTAGTGAAAATGACGGCGGGGGGGGGGGGGGGGGTCTTGTTCTTTGTCGGTTAGTACATGTTAGTGGGTTAAACGTGCACTTCCCCCCCCTTTCCATTTCCATGCATAAAACTATGTGGAGACTACGTCTACCTCCTGCGGGGAGTCTGGTCTCTGTACCCGCGGGGACGGTTTGACGTAGGGTTTGATTTGGTTTGCATGCACCCATTTGTAGACAGGCTCCTGTCTCGCTTTGGTGATGCGTAACCTGTATGCAACTGGAGAGAGTTTTGCCACGATCTCAAATGGTCCTGACCAGCAGGGCAGGAACTTCTTAGGTTTGCGTGCCGGTTGGGCGAACCGAAAGTAGAATACTTTGTCACCCACCTCGTATTCGCGGCTGGTTGTCTTTTGGTCGTAGTAGGCTTTAGCGCCTTCTACGTTGGTCTCCAGTTTCTTCTGAGCGTGCGCGAACGTAGCTCTGAGGTGTGTTTTCAAGTCTGCCACATACTGATGGGCGGTATAGGCAGTGGCAACACTGACATCCTCTGGGTGATACAGGAGGTGCAGTGGTAGAGTCATCAGTCTGCCGGTCATCATCTCAAAGGGCGTAACCCCAGTGGATCGCTGTGGAGTGGACCGTATGGCCATCAGGACCAGAGGGAGCTTGACGTCCCAGTCCTTCCCAGTGGAGCAGACGTACTTTTTGAGCATAGAGACGACCGTGCGGTTCATCCGTTCGACCTGTCCGGATGACTGTGGGTGATAGGGGAGGTGGAATCTCACTTCCACTCCCAAAAGTTCAAACAGGGACGTCATTACACTGGATGTGAAATGAGTTCCTCGGTCAGAGTCAATGCAGAGTGGAAGTCCCCATCGACTGAAAACGTGGTTAATCAGCAGTACAGCGGTTGTGACGGCTGTATCGTTTGGCGCTGGAAGGCACTCAACCCACTTTGTGAAACTGCAAGTTACAGTTAGCATATATTTGTTTCCTCTTGCCGATTTGGGAACCGGTCCAACCCAGTCGATCTGCAGGTGGGACCAAGGGAAGGTTATTCCCCTGCGTTGCAGTGGTGCTCTAGCAAGCGGCTGGGAGGGTTGAAACTGGGCACAGATGAGGCAGCCTTGGACATAGCTGTGTACGTCCTTGGACATCGACGGCCAATATGCTACTTCTGTCAGTGACGCGAGGGTAGCTTTTGCTCCGCGGTGACCTCCAACCGGAGTGTCGTGGGCGTAGGCAAGCATGACTCCTCTGTGGTCAAGTGGAACAACCCAGCGCGGCGGGCTGTGATCGTCACGCATGTAAACTAACAAATCGTTTTGTAGTTTCAGGTGCGCGAGTTGACGATGCAGGGTTACCAAATCTCG